TATATATNTATATATACTTATATATATATATATATATATATATTCCCAGCCAGTATTACGTGCTATCCTCTTCACACGTACACAATAGATACTGATAAAAAATAGTTTCCAACAGTGCACCTTCACAATAACTTATACGCTCGACACTCGTACAACTACACAGGACTGAGCTAGACAATCACAACCAAAGCATAGAAGCCATTCGTAGCACACAGTACGATACCAAACTCGACGGCGTGCGAGAGACTGTGGGTGCTGAAGGGTCAGCCTTCCCGTCTAAGAACAACACCGGAGATGGCTCCGACAGCCCAGACACGCAGTCAGACACACGGGTAGGCACACACACGGGTGTGAGGGAGGGTGGAGCGCACTCGGAGGATATAGGGGGTGGGAATAAGAGGGGTAGGGATATCTCGGAAGAGAGCTGCTGCAGTGCGCAAAGCTCTAGCAACACCCACAGCACCAGCCAACCCAGGAGTACTACGGATACTACTAGCGACAGCAGCCAATCAAGCACCACATCACAGAGCGATGGTCATACGGGCAATGGAAATGGGGACACAGCCAGGGCTAGGAGACATAACGGGCAGTCCGAAAATGAGGTGCAAGGTGCAGAAACGGGTGCAAACTCGGGCACGGGTCAGTGCGTCCAGGAGATGAGCGTCAACAGTGTGCATAGCAACGAAGTACGCACACGTAGCAACCTAGCAACCGCTTATAGTCCCACTGCGGTAGAAGATGTAGGTATGGGTGAGACGCCAAATAAGGAAGGTTGTAGATTGCCGTATATGGAAGGTGGCAGCATATCTGAGCAGGCGGATGTGCACGTAAGTCCTCGGCATAGCAATACCTCAATTGTCAGGTCGTGCGACGAGACGATAGAAGAGGTTGATGACGAAGAAGCACTGAGTGGAAAGGAACACACCAACACTACAGATGAGTTAGCCTTGAGTGGAAAGGAACACACCAGCACTACAGATACGTGGGTGAGGAGAGGCTCTCTGCCGACGCGTAAGTTGTGTGCTGTACGGTGCGGTTTTTGTTTGTTGTCATGTTTTCTGGGGCTGGCACATGTCTATGTAAATACTGACACGCACATGGATATATGTACGTGCTATATTATGTATCTGGCTGCAGATTTATTCAGTAAGACGTGAAGGGGTTTCCTGTGACTGGCACATGCCTATGGAAATACAGACAAGCACATGGAAGTTCGTACGTGCTATATTCTATGTATCTGGTTGCAAATGAATCCAGCCAGATGTGAAGAGTTTTTCTGTGGCTGTGTGGTATGTTAACTGGGTTATGCAATGTCCGATTGGGGTTGTTGTGGCCGTATTGCGTGGTCAGGTCATACCCTGTCATGTCGCCTATGGACTGACATGAATTGTGCTGTTCCGGTCTTTGGGTTTGTCGGCTGTCCCAACCCTGACAGAAGATGAAGTATATGCCCACTTCACAGACAGTAGAACGAGTAGATAGGACGCGTTTGGCTGTGGTGTGCATAGTAGCTGGTACCTACCACTACGCAAACCAAACAAACTGTAGACGACGGCCTGACTTCAAACACTACCAATACCACACTCTCGTGCGCATGTATATATACATACACAGATATAGCAACCACTGGGGATGATATATATACATGCACAGATATAGCAAAAATGATATAAATACATGCACAGATATAGCAACCACTGGGGATGATATAAATACATGCACAGATATAGCAACGACTGAGAATTCCTATGCGAGTACTCAGAGTCCGGAAACCAAGACCGACAGTCACACGGCCAAGGTTGCGGTCAACAAGTCGATGCCCGATCTACTTGACAGGCTGGGTAAGTACTACCAGTAACACCGAACTGTACTACGAGTGATACTATACTCCATACCCCCTTAAGAGCATATATATATTTTTATAAATATACATGTATGTATGTATGTATGTGTGTATGTATGTATATATATATATATACTTACATATATATATATATATATGTGTGTGTGTGTGTGTGTGTGTGTGTGTGTGTGTGTATCAACATACAGATGTGCGATTGGACATGGATGACAGGTACGTGTATACCTAATAGCTGCATCTGATTCAGGGTTCAAAACCGGTTATAGAGAAGGATTATCACAGTTTGTATTATCTGGGTGCTGTCCTGGCAGTCCATTGCTAAACAACACGTGCGTGACTGCAACTGTTGCCTGTCTTGCAAAGTGTCCTTATTAGCCAACACACTATAAAATTCCGGGGAACTTACTAAGAGATGACAGGGTCCACTTTCACATACGAGTGTATGTAGCACCCCGCGCAGTGCTGTACAAACCCCACCCCTTGTGGTGATGCTAGATTATACAAGACTTGTAGCGAATATCCTGTCTCTGGGACAATTCTAAAGCCTAATTTCCATGTGGTAATACTAGATTATACAAGCCTCGTAACGAATAGCCTGTCTCTAAGACAATTCTAAACCCTAAGGTCCTTGTGGTAGTGCTAGATTATACAAGATTTGTAACGAACAGCCTGTCTCTGGGACAATTCTAAACCTTAAAGTCTTTATGGTAGTGCTAGATTATTCAAGACTTGTAGCGAATATCTTGCCTCTGGGACGATTCTAAACCTTAAAGTCTTTATGGTAGTGCTAGATTATACAAGACTTGTAGCGAATATCTTGTCTCTGGGACAATTCTAAACCCTAAGGTCCTTGTGGTATTGCTGGATTATACAAGACTTGTAACGAATAGCCTGTCTCTGGGACAATTCTAAACCCTAGTTTCCTTGTGCCAGTGCTAGATTATACAGGACTTGTAGCGAATATCTTGTCTCCGGGGCAATTCTAAACCCTATGCATGGTCCTTGTGGTAGTGCTAGATTATACAAGACATGTAACGAATATCCTGCCTCTGGAACAATTCTAAACCCTAAGGTCCTTGTAGTAGTGCTAGATCATACGAGACTTATAGCGACTGTTCTGTCTCTGGTTAAACTCATCCCGCTGTCCCCGATATCGTCATCTGACCCTTGTTGTTCGTAGATCAATGCCCAGCTCTTAACTTTTAAAAATATGTAAAAGTAAAGTCGACCAATTTTTTCTATGACAAGTATATATAGTGTGAGTAAGGTTGTGCATAGCCACCATATACTATAGTGAGTCTTTTGTGCGATCTTACCAGGCATAGGCATCTTTCAAATACACCTCTCTGATAAGTATATATGGTGTGCGTAGGCTCAACCACCATGTAAGAGCTGTACAGCCCCATTAGAAAAACATTGATAGTCACATCACATACTCGCCAAGAAAAGCAATGCAACAACTGTACAACCCCACAGGACTCTGTCACACACACCCTATTATTTTCTGCATCTACACACCTATACCCCAACTCAATTCCGTACCAGAGGAACAAACAGTTCATGCGGAACGTACTGAGTTACTAATAGCAGATAGATAGTCACGAATGTATTGCATACTCTGTATTCGTATCTACCGCTCCATACCTATACCTATACACCAATCCAACTCCGCATCAGAGAGTCAGCCCAATAAGAAAGCCATTAAGAAGCGCACCCCATCCATGAGGAATATACTGCGCAGTTTCCCAACCTTTGGAATGGGCCCGAGGAAGCGGTCGCACACCGGAAGCACGCGCAAGGCATCGGACCTCAGTCTCAAGCCATTCGGCCACAAACACTCAGGTACTTGCGATGGACGTAGGGGCGTGTTCCTTGTAGGGATGAAGTTTGTGTGTATGTCTTTGTAGCAGGTAGAGAAGTGTATGAGAGCACGGAATCGGATGTGCTTTGGAGTACATGACTATGTAGTGCCCTTTGGGTATACAGATACACGTACGAGTTAAAATGCGCTTGTTTCTGACTGTCTATCTGTCTAGTATTCTCTTGACCATGCCTGTAGGTATACGCTTTCATATCCTACGGTAGGTATAGAGAGATCTACTGCGTTCAATCACACGCGCGTATAGTGAACTGGACATTGATATTGCGCACATTAGTACTTTCTAAAGACGCCAGTCCGTCCATATGCTTAGGCTTTTGTCAAACCTTGAACCCTAAAAGGTGCATCTGACCATATCCAATAACCAGCACTGCCGCTCAGCACCCCGCGATTGTGTAGTGTATGTGCGTGATCTGAACATCATTAAACACGTGTGATCTGAGCATCATTAAACACGTATGATCTGAACATCATTAAACACGTGTGATTGGATCATCATTAAACACGCGTGATCTGATCATCATTTAACACGTGTGATCTGATCATCATTAAACACGAGCAACCATACCCCTCGGTGCAGCATGTGATCGAGTGACATCGTTCACCGGAGATATCGCAGAGCACGATTCGACCACCAGAAACCCATTGTCTCGCATGTGCACTCACAGCTCCACACACACTAAGCACCGTCAACCGGCAAAGGACGTCGACGCTGAGATGGGTGTGTGATACGCATTTAATGCGTGCATACGCGTGTATATGTACATGCATGTCTGTAGGTTTGTAGGTGAGAATGTGCATGTGCGTATGCGTATTCATGTATTCCATTGGTATTGTGAAGCATCTGTGCGCCAAGGGCTCTTCAGGTTTTTGACCTATGTGATCTCGTATGCTTGTATATGTCTCATCAGTGCTTCTAAAGCGCATAGACAAGTGTGGTTTTAATTGAATACGCCATATAAAGTAGTGAGCTTCTCAAAGTACGCTAGATACAGTCGTCCAACTTTAAACAGGTGGCAAGCCATAGATATCATCCTTGATTACTTTAGCTATGAAGATCATCCTCGATACTGTCCACCTTAAGCACATGTAGGCATACCTTCAGCAATAGATGTATATCATTACTGTCAACAAATTTGTTAATTAGTAAACCCCACTGCATCCCTCGAGCCCGGACATAACATGATGCCCAAGTCACTACCACTTTTGCATTGGTACTAAAGCATCATTGATACTGCCAACTAACCAATATTGATTATGTGTCACCCAATAGATATAGCCATCACAGAATCAACAAACGCCAACACCTGTATTGCCTATGGGATGGCATGAAGCAGAAGTGCACTTCGGTACTTCTTGGCTATGAGGGCCGGAGAAGATATTTACTTTGCAAACTGGAAGTATATACGCAAATCATCAATTGTATAAAGAAGATCATATCAATAGTAAATAAATGGTGCACTGGAAGACTATAAATGAATACTGGGTTTATTTGGCATACAAGATGGATGCTACCGTTTTTTTTATTGATTAGCAGAAACTAATTGCATGTCGTCACTGTTTACTGGAATAGGATGTATGGTATAGATGCATGGTATAGATGCATGGTACAGCGCTTTCGAACTACAAATGGTAACTCCCTCATGTTCTACTGCGGTGTACTATTAGTCCAGTATCGGATCGGTTGATCCGAGCTAGGATTATACTGTTTTGTCAACCGAATCTTTTCCTTGATTATAGACTACAATGTCAAACCAGAACTCCAACTTGTCTGAACTTCCATTTTCGGCCCTCCGTAGCAGAATTTTGTAACGAGGCCTAGTTCTTCTTTTCTAAAAAAAATATTGATCCAAGTCAAATCGTATTTTTCTGTACTCTGTACACCTACGTATTATATGAACTACGGTTTAACTGTCTGTCGGTAGTTTTATGGCACAAAAGATTGTAACCCCCAGAGCGTCAACAGTGTAAGTTTCCTTCTACAGTACAAGTCCAGTTGGAGACGAATTAATTTTGACCAGCTTTGCGATCCTTGGTTGCTCGAGCACCTCAACCCCATCGAAAAAGCTTGCGTCTGGGTTCACAAGAACGGTCGAGGCTGTATTCGTTTTCTCGGGATCTTCTTCGCTGAATATTCTCTGGAGTCGTCCTGCTTTTCCTTCACAACGTGAGGTGTATTCCAAGGCCATATATCTGCAATGCGGTGAAGAATGTCGCCAGACATAGCTGAAACACAGCTTGTCATAGCACCAAATGCTCCCACGACAATACGATTGTAGAAACTATCCATAACACTTGTACAGGTCGAGACAGCCCCATAAGAAGAATGCCGGCCATAAGCACGTGCGGTGTTGCTTTACATCCTGGCAGCAGTCTGTACATTAATAAACCACCGAAGCATAAAACTTTAAAATTGATGAAGTACACAAGAATCGCTGTTCCTTTCAGCATGGCAGTTTCAGTATCATAAAGAAAGAGCATTGCATTGATGTAAGCAACGATATGATGAACGACCAGCAGGGAGCTCCATAGCGTAGTTTGTTATCATTGCCAACGCCATAATGAAAAATAGTTGGATCTTATTTCTGAATTTTATAGATGAGATGTGATCGAAATTGAGACTTAACATCATATATGTCATGGGACCGATTAGTACGCAGAGAATGAGAAATTCCATGGCGTGATGTAATACAACAACTTGCTTCTCACTCACGAGTTGTGCATAAACTACGGAATACCGGTTTAGTATCCGATGTACAATGAGGTACGATATAGTCAGAATGAACATGGCAAGTAGAACCCCGGCACTGACACTGTGGTCCAAAAAGCTCTCCCACTGTTCCCCGGGTAGCCCGGTTGAAAATCCAGCATCGAAAGACCACATATTGCAGGTATGTATGATAGTATATATTTAAATACTGTATACTGACCATGTTTGTCAAATATATATACGTGAATTTCGACACAAGTGTATTAAGGATTGGCCAGTAGCTTTTAAGGCACATCGGCCTTTTTCGATTGTACGCAAGGTTGTGTCGCACGTTCCCATCTCATGGCCCAACGTCAAAATGTTTTACGATAAACAATTTAGAATTCAAAAAAATAACGGTTAACTTTCAACTTTTATGTATATCATTTACACAACTACCGATATTGATTAGGTGCAGGTTTCTAGGTCATATATTAATAATCATATTCGAAATTTTCAGGCAGCAAATATATATATAAATATGGCCCCATATAATGCCTTTTAGAATATATATATATTATGCCTTTTAGCCAGCAAATATATATATACGTGTCGGCTTTTCATTGGTAAATTTTAGTTATGTAGTCCATTTCGCTGAGTATAGGTGTAGTTCTGAAGTGCAAAATCCACTATTTCGACCATATATTTTAGAGTTTATATAAGTTTTATGAATTGAAAAAATAACGGTTAACATTCAACGTATATCTACACCAAGTATAACGTATTCACGTTAGATCTCACCTGGACTAAATAAATGTTATAAATCTAGATTTCGAAAACTGTTTTAATTTTCTGCTCTAAAACTATGATATAATTTTATTTATTTTGTTAAAAAAACAAATAATACATTGTATTAAATTTAAAGTCCTAGATCCAGATTTCGAATTAAATTGATATTTATATTTTTTGCTCTAAAACTAGTATATATACATGTATA